TGGGCGCACATTTTTTGCTGCACAGAGGCGGGTGCGTATCTTGGCTGCTACAAGATAGTGGTCCGAGTCGATGTTTGGGCCTCGGAGTGTGCGTACGTCTAAAACACTGGAAGCGTGCCTTCCGTCTATCACAACATGATCGATTTGGTTTCTCGTTTTTCGATCCGGAGACAGCCACGTAGCTTGATGGATCTTTTTATGCTTGAACCTAGTACTGCATACTACCATGTTTCGGGCCCCGGCGAAGTCGATCAGCCTCAATCCGTTGTCGGACGTTTCGTCGTGGAGGCTGAATTTTCCGACGGTGGTTCCAAAGATCCCTTCCTTGCCCACCCTGGCATTGAAGTCGCCAAGCACGATTTTGATATCATGACGGGGGCAGCGCTCGTATGTGCTCTCCAAGCGCTCATAGAAGAGATCCTTGGATGCCTCATCCTTCTCTTCCGTCGGGGCATGGGCGCAGATGAGCGAGATGTTGAAGAATCTCGCTTTGACGCGGATTGTGGCTAGACGCTCGTCCACCGGGGTGAACGACAGTACTCGGCGACGGAGTCTCTCTCCCACCACAAATCCAACACCGAATTTGCGCTCCTTTACATGGCAGCAGTAGACGTCGCAAGGCCCCAGACATTGCTTGCCTTGCCCCGTCCAACGCATTTCTTGGATGGCGGTGATGTCAGCTTTTGTCCTTACGAGGACATCAACCAGCCGGGCAGAGGCACCTTCCCCATTAAGGGTCCGGACATTCCAGGTGCATGCCCTCAAATCGTAGTCCTTTAAACCTTTGCCGTGGTCGTCATCATAAGGGGGGGTCTCATCCGAGGCTTTGCCTTGCTTCTTCACTGGAAGTGGTTTTTACGTCGAACGCGGGTCCGAAGCCCAGCGCACAACCCATTGCTGGGACGGGGGTGGTTTCGCAACCAAATACACGTTTATATAGCGAGCCGCTTGCTCCAAGCAGACACCCGCTTGCAGCCGCACCTACTGGTGAACAGACGCTGCAGACTTCAGTGAGCCCTTAATCCGAATAAGTAAGTCGGAGTGGCCCCACCGAAGCTCCCTCTCTTTCTGCCGTGACCCAAGGCTCCACTCGGATTGGTTACCGCATCTCGCACATGGGTTGCTCACGTTGCCCAGAGTGCGCGAACGAGGACGCAAGAGTCGGGATTGAGTATAGCCATGCAACGTACATACATACATACATCTTATTCCCAAACTGCTACTTAGCACGTTTCTGTAATTCAGTATCAATATTAAAGCATTCATTTAGGAGGCATTTCTGCCCCAACCATGTACAGATATGGCATTGGTATTGGTGGGACTTTTGAAATGATTTTTTCGCTCTATTTTAAACTGATTTGAAATTTTAAAAATTGCCTGCACATCAGCATCAAAATACCTATCTAATGCTGTATAATGGTTTATACCTTAGAAGTATAGTTTAGCCGTAAAAGGGGTGTAAAGGAAACATGATTGCCTATTTATATAATTAATATGGTCAAAAGTGCAAACAGCCGTCAGCAATAAAAAATCATTAAATATCAACGCGATTTTTTAGCCGCTTAAAACTTACATTTGTTTTCTTAGAATTAAAGACCCGATATATGTATCTGCGTAGGTACTTAAAATTTTTCTAAATATTCAGATTAAACAGGTCAAAATTTAGACGAAAGTTCGTTGAATTTTTCTAAGTTCTGTATAAAGCTTAAAAGTTTGACTTGTATAGTTTTGATTAAAGCATGAAGCACATTTTTATAAAAAGGTAATAAAAAAAATTTAATTGAAAAACATTGCAAATATAAAGCAAACGAGTAAGAAAGTTTAAGTTCGGGCGGAGCCGAACATTAAATACCCGGCGCAAATATTAAATATATGTTTTTCACCTTTCCGACAGATACCGCTACATGGCAAGCCGGGGTGTATCAATTTTGAGTACATTAGCGTCCTTAAATTTCGAAATATTAAATTTTCAAGCATTTCTAAAATTTACCGTTATATGTAAAGCGGCCTTAATTTTAGCTCGATTTCAATAATTTTCAACGCTTTGCTTTTATGTGGCAAGCACAATAACCATGCCGAGTTTGGTACAAATTGGTAGAACGGTTACCGAGATACATATATGTGATCATAAGTGGGCGGTGCCACGCCCATTTTCCAAAATTTTATCATAAACGTATTTCTTAATAAAGAATTGTTGCAAGTGTCAATTTTGAATAAATTAGCTTTAATATTTACTGATTTATCGGAGATTTTGTGTTTCTCTAAATGACCCTTATATGGAATGTGGGCGTGGTTATTGTCCGATTTTAAAAATTTTCGGCCATTTGGTATGCTGTACCAAGCCCAACAATTGTGCCAAGTTTGGAAGAAATCGGTGCAGTGGTTGCCAAGAGATACACATGTAACCATAAGTGGGCGTGGCTACGCCCATTTTCAAAAAATTTATAATATTCTTATTTTTCGTCTAAAAATTATTGTAAATATCAATTTTGAGTGAATAATCTTCAGTAATTACTAAAATATCGCAGTTTTCGTATTTCTGAAAATTATCGTTATATGAGAGGTAGGCGTGGTTATTGACCGATTTTGCCCATTACCATCCGCCCTACGCCCGAAAGAAGTACACGTATCAAGTTTCGTTAAGATATCTTAATTTTTACTCGAGTTATCGTGTGCACAGACGGACGGACAAACGAACGGACGTACGGACAGACAGTCACCGCTTAATCGATTTCTCTTTTCATCCTGATCATTTATGTATACATTTGTCTATATCTATCTCGATTCGTTTTGCCTGTTACAAACAACCGTTATGTGAACAAAGTTATAATACCCTTGTGCACAAGTGCGCTCAGGTATAAAAACACCATGCACTCACTTTTGATTGCCAGTCTATGTATGCATGTACATATGTGTGTAAACTTTATGCCAAACTATCATTATTTTAAATTGTATTTGCATCAAAAGGAGAACAAGATAAAAAATTTAACAAAAATTACAAACTAATGAAAATTATGTGAAGATTTACCATATTTTCGTTTAGTTGCTCGCAAAGAACATCACATTTCATGTTGCTCAACATTGTATTATGTTATCAACATTATATTGAACAGAATTTCTACATTCCGACTTGAACTTTTCTAACGCTGTTAATTTTTCGTCCGCGAGGTCCACTTTCAGTTTGCACCTTCTCTATCTATCTAAGTTCTCTGTCATCGTTACAGCGAGCTTGGAAAAAAAGTATCAGTTGCCAAGCAGAAAAAGCATCAAAAGTAAACAAAACTGTTATTTGTTAAACTTTTATTTAAAAAACAAATAATAAATTAAATTTTATAATTAAATCCATGGTTATAAAAAATATTTATATTTCTTGCTTCTGTATGCTTATTTGCATAACGAAAAACAAACTTATAGTGCCCCTAAACCACACAAAATCATTGCGCGACCCGAGACTTGTACAGGTCAATATTGTGGAAATTACTACAGCACAAAATTGCGCAAACCTTATTTTGAAGAAACGTTGCTTAAGTAAATATGTGCAAGACATATGAATGTGCGTTGTATATTTTTATAACATTCGCTTTAAAACATAAAAAAAAAGAATATTAAAAAAATTTAATTTTTTTTCTTCGCTCTTATCCATATTTTACAGCAAGATCTGGACAGCAAAATCAAAACTAGACTAAAAATTTCACAGTTGTCGCCATACGCCGCTCAAATTATTGTACAATAACATAAGCATGAGCAAAATATCAAAATAATTTTTATTTGAGCGCAATAACTGTGCAATTTAGTACAAACGACCCTATAACACCGGCGTGTACAAAGAAATTTCGGGTTGTGTTTCCCTTATAGGAATTACCAAATCAAACTTATAAATATTTTTACATAAATAAATTTTGAGACTTTAAATAACAAGAAAAAAACAAATATTTGCCTTTGAACTAGTAATATTATTCATAGTTTTCAAAAATTCATTCCTGCTAGCCGAAATTATCAAAATAGGCAATTTGGGAACAAAAAAGTATCAGATCTTACATTTTAGAAAAAAAGTAATACAAATTTACAATTGTATCAAAACGGCAACACCGATCGTGCAATCCCGTATTCCTCGGACTAAAACAAGTAAGACTAAAAATTCGCTCAGAGCGAGATAGTAAAATTGAAAAGTACGGGATCGCTTTCTAGTAAAAAATGGTAACCTCTGTCAACTTCAACATAACCTCCAAATTTTGGTTGTAAATTTTTGCTTATTTTATATGTAAACACACTCAGCTCACACATGTAAATAACCAGAAATACTTTCAAATTCATTAGAATCCACTTAAACAAGCAATTAAATATTTTTCAATATGAATTAGCAGAGTGCACTTTTCTTTTGTTTACAATTTGGTTGCCAAACCCACTACAGCTGATCGTTTGACACCTTTACCCGAATTTGCCAGCAAAAAATTCTCGGACTAAAACTGGTTACTTCTGACAGAGAGAGAACCGTATTTACTCTCTTTTTTGTCCTCTCAATAGTCAGAGAACCGAGTACGGGATCGATTTCCAGTAAAATCTGACTGATTCTGACTATTTCTGACTAGTCCGGACTTGTACGGGATCGCAACTACTGCTAAAGTAACAGAGGCAGCGCCGCTTGGGTTACGCTTGCTTGCCTCACCGCTCGTGCCATAAATTCAAATTGGTTCGATAGTCGACATGCGTCTTCTGTATACTGTTTATTCTGTGCTTATAGCCATTTACTGAACCTTTTGTTTCTTTGTTAGAGCTTCTCAAATATTGCAAAAAAAAGCGATTTTTCGACACTTTGATCTGATGGAAATTTATACTTACGGATTCGAAATCAGCACAAAAAAGTCTATGGAAAACAGTGTTGCCTTTTGTTTTTTTTTTTTTGGAACTACTATTAAACTGATATTGATTGAATAGATTCTCAAAAATCGTCTGAATATTTTATGTACGTAACCTAAAACATCTTTTGTCTTATTTTTCAGACCTTCACCACTCAACAACGAGATTGTTCGCCAAGTGGAGGCGGCGATAGCGCCACTGCGATCTTCAACAGAATCACCCGAACGTTCATCATCTCCCGAGAGCGATTCTATGATGATGGCCGATCGCGATGTAATGACATTACCGTTGCGCAAACGTAAGCTTTACATGCACGAAGGATCGCCAATCGCTGCAGCAGCTGTTAATGTCTCTACACGAGATATTGATAATGCGTTAAGTCACATTGCACCGACATCGGGCAACAGTGAATCGAATCATGCACTTAGCGCCACGGTTAGTGCCAACCATGAAAACGGAGCAAAGGTGATGCGTATGAGTTCGGTTATACAGTTTGCCAAAGCCTCATAATTTGTCAGGCGATAGAAAAGCTTTATTAACGAAAACAATTAAAGACTGTTTCAAAAATATTTGTATTTAATGCCGCAAAATAACATTGCTGATTTTAAATACGCTGCGCTAGATTATAGATTATCTGTACGGTTCAGATTAAATCCAAAAGTCTATGTAGATGCTAATATTGAAAAGTATTATTTTTATATATGTATATATTAGGAATGTTATCCCGGACTTTTTAAGGATTACTTGGCAAGAATCCCGGGATTTTCGGGATTTGTAATTTGCACTGATGGCAATAATAGAAACTCCTTTTCTTGACCAGTATTGGCTATATTTCTTTTTTTATTTAATAATTAATATTTTTTATAAATGTCTAGCTCGTTATACATACAACACCGCGCGATAGTAAATTTTAAACACAAATATCAATACATTCGCTAAACCCTGGGCCAAATATAGTAAAATTACGTTTTTAGTTTTTCACTCTGACGTCATTAACTCAAATATGATTTAAAAAATTCAGAGAAATGTGCTTAGAGAAGAAGTATGGGTATAAAATTAATGAGGAAATCCTGTAGAATTTAAACAGATTCAAGTTTCTAGAGCAGAAGGGCTGGTAAATATTGAAAATGTCATTTTAAAATTTTATCCTTGAAATTTCGTAATATTTGTTTTTGAAAAAATTACATGTTAAGGTCTAATATAAACTCGATAACATCCTCGAATTTCGTTCTTCTAACTTTGTCAGCTTAAAAATTACCTAATCGTCCTTGTGAGTCCAAAAAGTTAAAATTTTTTAAATTCTAAAGAAGTATCCTATTGCATTTGTTACCCATATTTCTACATTGCATTGAATTTTTTTAAAGATTTTTGGAATTAATCATATCTTTGAAATTACAAAGTCCTTCAAAATAAATCCTGCGGTCAGAGAGAAAAGATAAAAAACGCCACTTTATAAAAAAGCAGGTTTCAAACCCATTTATTTATTATTTATTTCATGGTAGGAGAACTTCTTAAACAATATGGAAGCAATTTTTTCGATCAAAGTTGTTGAAAAGTAGTGAATATCTAAATCCCGGGATCCCGGGATTGTGACAACGCCATCCCGAAAATCCCGGGATAGGAAAAAGCCGACAAATTGACATCCCTAGTATGTATGTAGATATGCATGCGTACATACACAAACACCCACATAATTCGATATCATATTCAATTAGGCCAAAGTCCCTGCAGTAAAATTTAGAGACAGTCTGACAAAGCTCTAGTTCCGAACTACATATCTCAGAACTATCTCTGAACTTGTGCAAAAGGAATTCAGAGCGGGACGGTTGAAATTTGCGGTGTAAATGTGCTAATACACACTACTCGGACAATACGAAAGTAGCTCAGCGAGGAAAAATGGAATCTGTAACAGAAAAGATAAAACGAAAAAATATCAAAAAATGGAATCTTAAAAACGGTTTCTTATAAAAAGAACTGTCCAAAATGGAACCGGTTAAAAACTGGTTGCAAGGTAATGCACTGGGCGACAATTGCCACCGCCAATGACATCGCCGTGTAAAACTGGACAGTTGAAAGCATTGCTTGGGTATTGAGCTAGAACTGGTAGTTTCGCCAAAAGGTCTAGTTCTACGCTAGTTCTGAGCTAGTCAGATTTTCTGCAGGGGTACTGCTCAATTCTTCCAAATACATACATTTATGAAGACACGGATACCTATAGAAGATCGTGGTTGGATCGTGGCGTTATTGACTATTAACGTATTTATTAAATAAATATTTAGTTTAATTTATGTAAACTTTTAAGACCATTAAAGCTGTAGCATGAAAAAGTGTTAAGTATTTTGTTAAGTAATTGTTTGTACATATGTACATACATATGTATGAATGCATGTTTAAAAATCAGTTTTATTTTATGGCAATAATATGGTAGACACTTTTGTTAATTTTTAGTTAGCGTTGAGTGAGAGTTGAAATTTCGTTATCTTATATCTGTGGACTTTTAACAAAACAACTTCTGTGCTTGCTGTAGGTTGGAATATTGTACTCTATAAGAAACTTCGATTCAAAAATTTAAATTTTTTTTTTAAATTTCTTTAAGGTATCATTTAAATTACTCCTTTAATGACTTAAAATAAAAATATCGTATGAGAACTCAATTAATTACTTCTTTGAAGAGAAAATGACCTCTTTCGAGAGAATTTGGTTTGTCACATACATATGCATGTATAAACCACATTTTTTAGGATAATAATAGTTTGGCTAAGCGTTAATTTTTCTATGTACATTTTCTAGTTTTTTTTTTTAAGTAACAATTTTGGTCTTTGCAATTATGTTCAAAACCTATGCACATATTTAGATGTCGCTCTTTCAATGGAAGAATGGCAGGAAAAGGACTTAAAATTTTTAGGCAATGTTTTCCCTTTAATCAAATCAATAAAAATCAATATATTCGCAAAACTATTGGCCAAATAAAGTAAAACTGCGTTTTTAATTTTTCATTCCGGCATCATGATTTATTAAGGACTTTGAAATTACAATGATATGACTGATTAAAAAAATTACTAAAAATGCAGTGCATTGTGTAATAATGATATAGGTATCAAATAAAGAAGTAAAAAATAAGGTGCATAAAGGTGAGTAGGTAGTGAAAATACCCTTTTAAAATTTTATCCACGACAACATTCTCGAATTTCATCTTTCTTACTTTAGTAGCTTAAAAATAAAATTAATTAAAAGGGAATTTTCAGTACTTAAAACTACTTGAATCCTTTTTAAATCTACGGAATTTTTTCCATTTAAAAACTTGACGCCAGAGAGAAAAACTATAAATTCAGTTTTACCATATTTGGTCCATAGTTTCATCAGTATATTGATTGTTTTTTGTCTTTTGAAGTAAAAAATGTAATAAATAAACCCTTTAAATTTCATGCAGATAATAAAGCTTCAATTAGACCTTAATTTAGTGCCCTACTTTGGCCAATGACTTGTATAATTCCAGCAAACGAGCGATATATAGAAGTGCAAAATTCAACAGATTTATAGTCGACCTTTCACAATGCCAGTGAATAGTAAACTATTATATGGGCAATTCCCACAAACTTCGAATTTTTTTGTGAAGAAATATTTTTTCTTAAATTGCGAGCACATGTCTGAAATTTTTAGTATACGCTGCTTCAGCTGCTGGAATACATAATCCAACGTGGTGCATCGTTTTAAAACAATGCACCATACGTTTTTTACGCGTTTTTTTTTTTTAAGTAGAAAGTGGGCGTAATTTTAGTCCGATTTCGAAAATTTTCAACATATAGGTCTTTTATGCCAAGGTCAATAATTGTACTGAGTTTAGTACAAATTGATAAATCAGTTACCGATATACACATACAGTGAACCAACCAGTAGTTTACCATTGATTTTTGGATTTTTTTTGTTGACCGCGCTCCGCATTTTTTTTTCATATAAAAAAAATTTTCGAATATAAATTGCCAAAAATCAACGGTTAGTCCTAGCATCTACAGCCCAAGCTCTTTCATTTGACTCCTCATTTTCGAAAATCGAATGAACGGTTCAGATTTGATGACATGGACAAAAAATGCCTTTGGGTATTATAGTTATATTGTTTCTTTTTTAATTTTTCTTATTTATTTTTCGCCCTTTAACTTTTTAAAGAACAAATAAAAAGTAGTGCCACGAGGATCATAGTTCAATAGTATATTGTACAATAGAGCACACACGTATTTGGCTAAATTTTCCAATTGCAGACGATGTGCTAATAAACATATGCACTTTCAATTTTGTGCACGCATCGTAACCTTTTAAAAAAGTTGTTGTTTTTTTTTAGTATCTTATAATAAGAGCACATAAGCCTGCCACGTCTAGATTGATTTCCTTTATGCTCTAGAACACTATAAAAGTTGTCCGATAACAGTTTTAGGTACGCACCAGCTACAGTATACTATAAAAGCTGCGAGTATCAGAATTAAAAAAAAGGAGTCACGCTACTTTGACTCTTCATAACCTCTTTTCTATTACTGCATTCGATTCTGCTCTTCAAATACTACCAGTTCATTATAAACTCAAACATGAGCAATCAACGCACCAAATTTTGCAACGTAAAAATAAACAAATAAAATAATAGAAGTCACACCTTTTATTTGTGAAAGTTTCCCAATTTTATTTTTGAATTATGTGCATATTTGGCTAGAAAATATGTACGGTAGTCCTTTTTTGCATTTACATAATCTTCACAATATATGTAACCTGATATTTGTTAATGAAACAGCGAAAATTATGTGTCCGAATAAAAACTGTCGAGTCATGCGAAAGTTCGAAGTAATTGAGAATTGCCCATATATTAATTTCGGAATGTAAGTATGTTTGTATGTATATGTGAAGATGTATTTCAACTCCACGATGAAAGTCAAATAACTGTATTTTATATTATTCAATGTATGTTTTGTTCTTGCGATATTACTTTAGGTTTCCCTACCATATTACATACCTATAAGGGAGGAGTTTCATTACAAAACTCAAAAATTCCAATTTTAATGCTTTTGGTTTTGCGGATAGCATCTTGCGCTGCTATGCAAAACGTTTAGGAAGCTTAGAAAGCTCTCGGAGAGGTCAAGGCGGTGTTCACCGAAATATAAACATGAATTAAACTGTAAGCTCAACCTTAGGGATGTCGGCAAAACATCAATGCATCGAGAATATCGACGTTTAAATAGTCGATGTATCGATGCATCGATGTTTTTTGAAAACTGACATTAGTACACTAAACCGTCGTTCCAGTTTTCCAATTGTACAAAAAAGAGAAGTGACTTTGACCAAAAAATTTAAATGGCTCCAAAAAGTTCCGTTAGAAACATAAGTAGCAGTAAATTGTTTCAAATTTTGTATAATTTTGCTAATAACAAGTTTTCAGATTTTTGTTGCTTCAGAGCTATTGGTTCACACTTCGCGAATAACTTCAAAGTTTCATCTTGAGCCAGATCGAAAAGAACCGGTAGCCAAATCTACGCGATTATGATTCTGATACATAAATTAGAAGAAGAAACTCGCCCTATATTTTATACCTAACATTTTAGTTTTTTAAATTTCAAATGTAATTTCTTAATGTCACAACTTCATTGGCAAAAAGTGATATAAAAAGATTAATTTGCATGTATGTATGTTTGCATAAAACCATTAA